GGCTACTGTCGGCAGACAGGCTACTGGGCTAGATGGACCTTTGGTCTGACCCAGTACGGCCATTCTTATGTTCTAAGCTCAGGGCTCAGGGTCAGGGGTCTCACTGGACCAACTTGATTGTCATGCAAACCTGCTCCTGGGTCCGCATGTGGCCTTTGGTGGCCAGGCTGGCAGCTATCCTGCCCTAGATGGCCGCATTCCTGTGCCTAGTGGGGAGATCGTGGATGTTGGAGGCCTTCCCCCAAACTTCGATGAGGTCCACGATCTCCACACTAGACTAGGCAGTTGCCCGCCTCTTGCGGCCCCGGGCAGGCTCCTGGGAGCCACCAGCCTGGTCCTGGGAAGAAGCAGAGGGCTGGGTAACAGCGGGTAGCTGGCTCATGCCGTGCCAGGTACAGGGTCTGCTGTCTGGGTGCTGGCAGGCTTGCAACTGGCACAAGCGCTGTAGACAGACCGTGCCCCTTTAAGGGCTCTGGGGCTGGGAGGGGGGCAAAAGAGTTTCCCTGGTTTGGCCCTGAGTGGTCACCAGGGCAACCTGGGAAGGGCTAGCCTTCAACTAGTTCAAATTAAGTGGCTACACAGCCCTTAATTCGAATAGGCGTTACTCCTCGTAGAACGAGGTTTACCTAGTTCGAATTAAGCGCTCCGCTAGTTCGATTTAAATTTGAACTAGCGGTTTGTATGTGTAGCCCCTACTGAAGTTAATTCGAACGAACGGCTGTTAGTTCGAATTAACTTTGTAGTGTAGACATACCCTGAGTTAGTGTATCATAAAGGCCACTTCATCCACCTGTTACAACAGCCTCTCACTTACAATCTAATTGCAACAGAAATGGCCTAACAGTCTGTACGCTTACTGAAGATAGCCTGAGAACAATATGCTCCAGTCGCATCCCCAGCATACCCCACTCTGCAGCCTCAACACTCACTTGGCTTGTGGAGGTATCAGCACAGACATATTATAGCAGGTGTACTCAGAGTCAAGTCTGACAACACCCTGATGCACATTTCATGCCCTTTTATGCCACCTGAGAAGTATAAAGTGTGAATTAGGCCTGCAACTTTCAAAATTTTCCTTTAAAAAACTGATTTTTTTCTATTAGAAAATCTCCATTTGAGTCTATCCATTTCTCCTCCTTTCCCTGTCCTGGCTCTCCAGTGAAAAAGTGTGTTGATTCATTTCAAACATTCCACTTTCTTGTTACTTTTACCCCTTTCTTTATTTCTTCTTTGTTGTCATTTCCTCTGTTCATTTAATTTAGGATGTAAGATCTTTGGGACATGAATAATGACTTTATTTCTGGAAAGTACCATAAAAGCTTTGAGATCGCTATTCAGATATTTCATCCTCTTCCTGCAGGCCAACCAGCTCTATTTCTAATAGGTCAATGAACACCTCACACTACAAAATCTCTTCCCCACCTTAACCTGGGCCCCAGGTCTGCAACAGATTCATTTTCAGCCACGATCAACTGCAAGAAGTTTGCTCCAGCAAAATACAGTAAGGATAGAGTTATGATGGAAAGGAGAACAAGGCAATTAATGCTATCCTATACACTCTACCTTCCGGGAGAAACTATGAGGGCTTGGCTGGGTCAGTTAGTACAGCTTGCTATGCACTATAATCAGTGGTGCAGGTAAACAAAAGCTTACAGGTACAGGAGAGGGGAGGGACACCAATAAGGGGGGGCACATAACCCCCCATGTGACTCCATCCTGTCCCAGCCCAGGATCCTCAAGCTCTTCCTCTCCCTTCCCCATCTCACATTATCTGGAACATGGGGTGTTATGGCACCCGGAGGAGAGACTGCTCCTCCCAGCAGGGCAAGGAACAGAATTCCCAGCCTCACAACCCCAGAACTGCCACACCTGTGGACAGGATTGGCGGATATGGCTGGCAGTTCTGCACCTCTCCCTGTTAGGAGGGGCAGTGGGGAAAGGAGAAGAATATCTGTAGCTCCTCTGGCTGCCGCAATGCTCCCAACCATGCCCCCCAGGCTCCAGCCATGCACACAAAGACACAGCAGCCACTGGAGGGGGTGCGTGCAGCTGGCAGGGAGTCTTTGCAAAACACCATAATAGCTAAAAATAACTTGTCTGTATGGTGTACTAGACCAGGGGTCTCCAAACTTTTCAGCCCGAGGGCCGCATTAACTATCAAACAGCAGTTCGGGGGCCGACTACACACTTGAGGTCCAAATAAAAAACAATCAAAACATGGATGTTGTTTTTAATTATTTATTTAATATTATTTTATTCAGTTATTATTTAATAACACATTGATACACTACACATGAACACCTGTATTAGTGTGAATGGTGAAATTGTTTCCTGGATGCCAAAATAGCAGACATTTCTGGCTTTAGAAATCACTGTTTGAAATTGGGGGTGGTGCTTGTCCTAGTCCTGCAGGAGGGGCTCCAGAACGGGGAAACTGCTGAGAACTCATTTCCACCTGCGCAATGTGATGAAAATTGTAAGCAACATAATCCTGGCAATATGTTCAGCCTAAGACACTCACACTTGAAGAGATGTGATCGCTCTCCTATCATGCAGGGAATGAGGTGACAATTTGTAACATAGCCCCATGGAACAAGGGGCATGCATTTTAATGGGAAAAGCTGGTTTGAAAGCAGACACGTTATCACTTGGTAAAGGAAGTTGGAAAGCAGTGCCCAACGCTCCCACAGACTGATACCCGGCAGGGCGGTGCTGCTCTGGGTTGTGGATGAGAGAGACCAGACATGGAAGGGAGAGGGATGTTTCTTCAGGGCGCACTGCAGGGACCAGGGCAGCGCGCTAGGCACGGCACAGCGTCACCCAGAGGCTGTGCCACAGCAACCAGACCGCCTCCTGCAATGGGCACCAGCTCCTCAGCCCCGCCCCCGGAGAAGTAGCCCCTCGCTCCTAGCCCCTGAGAAACC